TTAGCGTACTCCTATATATAATACTCAGATTCTGCATTAGTGTTGAGAGAGGACTTGTATACAATATATATATGCCTTGTAGTTAGGGTACTCGTATATACAATATTTGATTCTGCATTGGTGTTGAGAGAGGACTTGTATATAAGATATATATGCCTTGTAGTTAGGGTACTCGTATATACAATACTCAGACTCTGCATTGGTGTTGAGAGAGGACTTTTATATATCATATATAGGCCTTGTAGTTAGGGTACTCGTATATACAATACTCAGACTCTGCATTGGTGTTGAGAGAGGACTTGTATATATGATATATAGGCCTTGTAGTCAGGGTACTCGTATATACAATACTCAGACACTGCATTGGTGTTGAGAGATGACTTTTATATATGATATATAGGCATTGTAGTAAGGGTACTCGTATATACAATACTCAGACTCTGCATTGGTGTTGAGAGATGACTTGTATATATGATATATAGGCCTTGTAGTCTGGGTACTCGTATATACAATACTCAAGTTCTGCATTGGTGTTGGGAGATGACTTATATATAGTATATATAGGCCTTGTAGTTAGGGTACTCGTATATACAATACTCAGATTCTGTATTGGTGTTGAGAGAGGAATTGTATATATGATATATAGGCCTTGTAATTAGGGTACTCTATATACAATACTCAGATTCTGTATTGGTGTTGAGAGAGGAATTGTATATATGATATATAGGCCTTGTAGTTAGGGTATTCGTATATACAATACTCAGACTCTGCATTGGTGTTGGAAGAAGACTTGTGTATAAGATATATAGGCCTTATAGTTATAGTACTCGTATATACAATACTCGGACTATGCATTGGTGTTGGAAGAAGACTTGTGTATAAGATATATAGGCCTTATAGTTATAGTACTCGTATATACAATACTCGGACTATGCATTGGTGTTGGAAGAAGACTTGTGTATAAGATATATAGGCCTTATAGTTATAGTACTCGTATATACAATACTCA